CAATGGTCTGACCACACTATCCCTTCATATACTGAAGTCACAGGTGACCTACGCAACTCTAATTCACCTGCCTAGTATCCCGCCAAGTCTCAGACAACATGTTTTTATCGTTTAAAAAAAAACTATTCCGGCCGAGCATGTCTCTGACCACACTATCCCCTCATATGCTTAGGAAAAGAAACAGATGAACTCCACTTCAAAATGCCCTGTATCCCGTCAAGTTCAGAACATTCATTTTATCATTCACATCGAAAAAATAAAAATAATAATTTTTTTTAACATTGACGTGATGTGTCTAGAACCCGTGCCACACGCATGAAATCCTATTACACTAACAACTTAGCTATTTAGACTCGTGACGTCACAGATGTTTTTTATGGTATATTTTAATACTTTGAGTCTCCTTATGCAACTTAATTTAGGCCCTAACTGGATCTAGATTTAAGTCTAGTAACTTTCACATTAAATTTCATCTTAAATTAGCCAATTCCATAGCTAAACAAAACAAAGATTTATATAAAATAATAAAGGTCTGAAATAGTTTAGTATAGAAACTCATTATTATCTAGATCTAGATAAAATTATCTAGATTCTACGACTCGTTTGATTAAGTTTAGTTTTTGCGTAACTCTTGCTAGATCTAGATTAGGCCTACTCTAGATCTAGATAGATAAAGCACAAAGATTTATATCAAGTATTTAAGGACTAAAGTAGTTTAATACAGAAACTCAAAATTATATTATGATTTTAAAATGGATTTTATTTTTAACTAATTAATCTTTGGTTTGACCTAGATTCTAGATCTAGATCTATAAATAACTTTCTGGGACAGATTGTAGAGCTAGAGAACTTTATTGTAAAACTAAATGAAAAAGACAGTTGAATATCTGTATAAGTGTTAGAACGTAATAAATACAGCAAACGGACGTATTGTTAAAGTTATAGCCGACAGAAAATTAGCTTTATAACGCGTTAAAGATCTGAATAAGCAACGAAATCTTGTATTGGAGCCGCCATTTATTGTACTAAGAAGTAAAAAAATCAAGTGACGTCACTATTCACTCAAAGTAAAGTCGTTTTTCTAAACTTTTAAAATTAACTAGAATACCCGTCATCCGTTGGATAACTGTGGGCTTCGGGGGTCATCCATCAAAAAACATCACGTCTGTCACTCAGAGGCATAGCGAGCCTTCCCGGCGCCCGGGGACAAACTTTTCGATTTTAACCCCCCCCCACCCCCCAAGATTTCGATTTTCAACCCCCCCCCCTCAAACTTTTGATGTGCACCCCCCCCCCCACTCAAACTTTCGATTTGAACCTCCCTCAACCTTTCAATTTATTTTTCCAAACCATTTTGGCGCCCCAACATATGTCCCCCCCGCCCCCCCTCCACCTCCCCCCGCCTCCCCTTCCCCCCCCCCCGCCTCCACTCCCCTCCCGCCCCCCCCCCCTCCTCGCTACGCTACTGCAGTGTCACTTATCGTCACAAAAACAGACCCCACATTCAAAAATATGTTTCATATCTTTTAAAAACACCGAAAACACCGATTTCGGACTATCCCTTCATATACTGACGTCACATGTGACCTACTCAACTCTACTTCACCTGCCCAGTGTCCCGCCAAGTCTCAGACAACATGTTTTTATCGTTTAAAAAACGATTCCAGCCGAGCATGTCTCTGACCACACTATCCTTTCATATGCTTAGGACAAAGAAACAGATGAACTCTACTTCACCTGCCCTGTATCCTGCCAAGTTCAGATAGGCAACTTTATCATTCACATCTAAAAAAAAAAAAATTGAAAACAAAATATCATTGACATATTGGTCTAGAACCTGTACCACCCACATGAGAGCGGACTACGCTACGAACTTAGCTATTTACTCGTGACGTCACAAGTGAATTTTTTTACTATACTTTTGAGTCTCCGCGCATAGATCTAGATCTAAGTCTAGTAGTAGAATCTAGTAACTTTCAAATTAAATTTTATCTTAAATTAGCCAAACAAAGATTTATATAAAATAATTAAGGCCTGAAATAGATTCTAGATGTATTAAGGCCTGAAATAGATTCTAGATGTAGAATTTACATTCAGTCTAGATATAGAATTTACATTGAGTCTAGTGACCTAGATCTAGGCTAGATCTAGATCTAGGCTAGATTCATAACTTTCCTTCGACAGCTGAACTTTAGATCTAGAGAAATTTATTGTAAAACTAAATGAAAAAAGACAGTTTAAAATTTATATAAGTGTTGGAACGTAATAAATACAGCAAACGGACGTATTGTTAAAGTTATGACCTACAGAAAATTAGATTTAGAACGCGTTAAACTTTTGAATGGGAACACAATTTTCTTCGATAGACGCCGCCATTTTATTGTACTAAAGAGTAAACAAAAACCTGTGACGTCACTGTTTCCGTCGAGTCTAGTGGCTTTTCAAATCTTTTTTAAAAAATTGGGTTATTCTACGTATGAATAAATCAATAAATTAATTAACGTCTTTAAATAAATTTGTGATTAACAGTCTGTCTTAAAACAAATTTTTTTCTCTACCTACATACTATTTTACAGCTTTCCACGATGAGTGCAACCATGAGCAATAGTCAATCAGGCAAACAAAAAAAACAAACAAAAAAAAACAAACAAAAAAATAAATATTCAAACATGTAAACAAACTTGACTTTTAGTAGTATATAGATGTGATCAATCTACCAATGAATAGAATAAATCAATAAATTAATTAACGTCTTTAAATAAATTTGTGATTAACAGTCTGTCTGAAAACAAAAATTGTTCTCTACCTACATACTATTTTACAGCTCTACACATAGTGCAGATTCCCTCCTGTAGCCAAAAAAAAAATAAAAAAATGAATAAATATTCAAACATGATCCAAACTTGAGTTTTAGTAGTATAAAGATCCTAATATATAAAAGGCCATGTGCGCACTTCTCTCTCTCTCTCTCTCTCTCTCTCTCTGTCCGCAAAATATTTTCGCCGGATATCACGTCACAACCTTCAGCGATATACGGAGAACTTGATACGGACTTTTGTTGAAAATAATATGTTAGATGTTTTAAATGTATAACCACAATTTTATTTAAAGAAGAAAAATAAAAAATAAAGGCGTATTCGAATGTAGAAAAACAGTTTTAATTATGCAACAGGAAAAGCGTTTATAGTTGTGAAAAAGAACGCATAAAACTGTGACGTCACTAATGTTTATACATTAACTAATGACGTCATCTGCCGTGTTTAGAATAAAAAGAAATGAACTATTTCAATTAAATTTTATTTAGATCTACGTAGGCTATGAAATGTATAAAATACAATTTTTCCGACCTAAACTTATAGATGATAGTGTAATTAATAACACCACGCAGGTGGTGCGGGATCGAGACACACCAAGTCAAACTTTATTTTTTATTTTTTTATATGTGAATCTTCCGATTTTAGACTATCTATAAAGAAAGAAGCTACTTCATTCAAATTTGATTTAGATCTAGATCTATAGATCTACTCATCAAGACGGACGCTATGAAATATATACAATATTATCGGTCAAACTAATACAAATTACTTAAAAACAACATAATGACCATTGAATAGCCAGATTTTTAATGGAATCATTTAAGTCACTTAATCAGTGCAGAGTTTCTTCCAGGCATCTCTGTGGGGGGGGGGGGGGGGGGGGGGGGGAACAAGTCTACCGCCCCCCCCCCCCCCCCCCGAGCGAAATGAAATTTATATAGACCATATATACTTTTAACAGTGCCCCCCCCCCCGAAGAAAGTCCCTCCCCCCCCCCCCCTCCCTCCGGAGAAAAAAGTCTGGAAGAAACACAGAATCAGTGTGTGCCTGTGTTATGTTAGCTAATTATTAGTTTTTCTTGGCTTTGTCACTAATATCGTTCAGCGTGTAGTAAAACACATTGCGTTTTGACCAATAACTATTTCATTAATTATTTTTCTCAAACAAGTACATTTTAAAATATATAGGCCTATAATTCACGTGAAACGGGTACCAATGGCCAGAGTTTCTTCCAGGCATCTCTTCGGGGGGGGGGGGGGGCGAAGCCCCCCCCCGAAAAATCTTTACCGCCCCCCCGAACGAAATGAAATTTATATAAGTTATATAGAAAATATATACTTTTAACAGTGTCCGCCCCCCCGAAGAAAGTTTACCGCCCCCCCCCCGAAGATTTCAAGTGCCCCCCCGGAGAAAAAAGTCTGCAAAAACACTGCCAATGGCTAGTAGATAGATAGATAGATAGATAGATAGATAGATAGATAGATAGATAGATAGATAGATAGATAGATAGATAGATAGATAGATAGATAGATAGATAGATAGATAGATAGATAGATAGATAGATAGATAGATAGATAGATAGATAGATAGATAGATAGATAGATAGATAGATAGATAGATAGATAGATAGATAGATAGATAGATAGATAGATAGATAGATAGATAGATAGATAGATAGATAGATAGATAGATAGATAGATAGATAGATAGATAGATAGATAGATAGATAGATAGATAGATAGATAGATAGATAGATAGATAGATAGATAGATAGATAGATAGATAGATAGATAGATAGATAGATAGATAGATAGATAGATAGATAGATAGATAGATAGATAGATAGATAGATAGATAGATAGATAGATAGATAGATAGATAGATAGATAGATAGGTAGGTAGGTAGGTAGGTAGGTAGATAGCTACGCTCATGAACTAAATTTTTTGTTATGTTTATTATTTACAATTTACGATGGAAAGACGATTTTAAAATTCCAAAACCGGTATTCTACCTATGTCTACACCTACCTATGTCTACACCTACTTATGTCTACACATACCTATGTTTGCACCTACCTATATCTACATCTACCTATGTCTACACAGTTTTAGCGTTAAGGAATTAGAAAAACTAGGCTATCGCTTTAGAACAAAAACTCTAGCACGACTTGATCAGGCGATACAAAGTTTGAATCGTGACAACCTACATAATACTTTTGCCAGCGGGAGAGAAAGTGGAAACCTTATCGTGTAACTTTCTTTTTCAATATGCTAGGCACAGTTTTACAACTTTATTTTGGTAAGAAAAATAAAACTGTTTGTTAAAATAGTGACATCAGATAAAAACAACAACAGAAATATCAAACATGTACAATACGTCGTGCCAAACAATCACATAATTTTATCATTTAATTACATTTCTTTTCCAAATAGCTAGATATTACTAACAGTAAAAGTAAAGTTCACATTTTGAACCCGAAGGCCTATAGAGCAAGCGAAGTAGAGATCGACTGTTTCTATAGGTTTGGAATATGAAAGGATTGTGTGGTCAGCATTATGCCGAGCCTGTCTACCTACCTACCCACTCTACCACACACCCACCCACCCATCCGTCCGTTCATCCATCCATATCTATCTATCTATCTATCTATCTATCTATCTATCTATCTATCTATCTATCTATCTATCTATCTATCTATCTATCTATCTATCTATCTATCTATCTATCTATCTATCTATCTATCTATCTATCTATCTATCTATCTATCTATCTACCTACCTACCTAACTAACTACCTTTCTACCTACCTACCTATCTATCTAATCAACTGTCTAGAATATATATATATATATATATATATATATATATATATATATATATATATATATATATATATATATATATATATATATATATATATAATTGATTTGTACTTAAAACTTTGTCGACACAATTTCTAAATAACCAACTTTTTAAATATCTTAGTATTTAGCAGTTTTTACAAGCTTTTATTTAACTCACTCCCTCTGTCGTCAGTCTGTCTAGATCGAAACGCCCGAGTGAAATTTTTAACAAATCAAATAAACATTTTCTGGAATCACTAGGCTGTTCTACTACTATTTCCGCACTATTATGCTTATCTGTAGATTCGATCTAGAGAAATTTATTATATACTCAAATTAGAAGAACTGTTGAAAATTGATAATAGTGTAGGAACCTAATAAAAATAGCAAACGGACGGCGGAGCGAAATTGCAGGCACTTCTAATGACGGATACGGTTCATAGTTGGTACGTTGGTTAAGACATGAAGACAATGCAACATGATATTTAATTTGACTTAATTGGTCGTCTGATTCATTTTTTATGAATTAATTAAAATTGTGTCCAAAGTAGTTGGCTGTCTCATCAACTATTCCGCACTATTAGACTATGTCATCACGTTCATTGGGTGCGCAATTGTTTTAAGTCATGCAAGTCTATTTAATTAAAAATGTAAAGTAGGATTTTTTTTTCATAAAAACGTCTTAATAACAAGCTTTTATGTAGGCCCTACTAATACACTAAAAAGAACAAAATAAATTAGTTGCTTTAAATATATAGTAATATAATAAACTACTATTTATATAACTATAAAGAAAAGCGTGTGTCGCTTCCTAAATATTAGTAAAAGTATCCAATAGATAATATAGTGACCCACGCTTTTCTTTTTGTTATATAAATAGTAGTGTATTATATTACTTTATATTGAAAGAAACTAATTTATTTTCTACTTTTTTAGTGCATTAGTACAATAGATAATTAAGTGACCCTCGCTTTTCTTTATAGTAGTTATTTAAATAGTAGTGTATCGTTTATTCTCTACTTTTTAGTGCATTGTAACATAAAAGCTTGTTGGTAAAACGTTTTTATGAGGTTTTTTTTGCAGGCTTTTACCTAGATCTAATTGGGTTTTGTTTTCGTGTCTGTCGTGCTTTTTCGTGCTTCGTCATAGGTCGAAACTGGCGATCGAAATATTGACCACTGCTAATGGACCGATTTCTTTCAAACTTAGCTTGTGTGTTAAGATCTGATGATAATGAATTGTGAAATCAAATTTGATTTAATTGAATTGTTAACTAATTTTTAAAGAATTACTTAGAATTTCCTATAAAAAGCACTATTTTCCTCGCAATTAAACGATTATTGTTTGTGTTCATTCGGTCATTTTAGTCATTCTTTTCTGTTGTATTAAAAAACAGTATTGAGAAAAATTAATAAAAAACGTTTTAACAACAAGCTTTTATATAATTATGAACTAAATATTAGAAAATAAATAATGTATCATTATTTAAATAACTATAAAGAAAAGTGTTACAGCTGTTAATACAAAACTCTATTGGTCACTTCAATTCACTTCATTATCATTAGAACTCTAAAAGCGAAACAAAATGGAACTTCGCGGAACACTATTGAAATTGGATACTACTGTTTGTTACTTTTGTTTCATTTTAATCACTGCTTTCATTTTTTGATGGACTTTTCGGCACGCTTACCTTACTTTCACCTGTTCGACTTATAAAAATAAATTCTGTTTCTTTTCTTCGAAATGTACATACGGCGATAATCCGGTTCCCCGTATTACAAATGCTTCTTTTATTTTTTCAAAACAACAGCTCGTACTTTTAAAAGCATATGTACGTTAAGGCACTCGTATGTCGATATACCATTATGAATATATATATATATATATATATATATATATATATATATATATATATATATATATATATATATATATATATATATATATATACATATACATACATATATGTATATATATATATATATTAACAAATACATATTCAAACACACACACACACACACACATATATATATATATATATATATATATATATATATAGGCCTACATATATAGGGCATATATATGCATATATGGTGCATATATATATATACATATAAATATAGACATATATAGGGCATATATAAATACATATATTAAAACACACATATGAAGTATATATATATATATATATATATATATATATATATATATATATATATATATATCATTTATATTAATTACTCTATTCTCAATACAGTCGGTGTGGCCAATGCAGTTTTATATACTGATTTAAATTGCTCTGAAAATAGAAAGACTATTGTCCATTTGTTCGAATGGAAGTGGCGAGATATTGAAAATGAATGTCCATTTTTAGCACAAGCTGGCTACTGCGCTGTCCAGGTATAAAACAATAGTACATTTGTTAAATGCTTACATGAGTAACCGTTTCGTCATTGTGCCGACTTTAAAAACATTTTCATGGTCTATTGACTTGTTGAACAAATAATACTTTCTCTTAACCTAATGATTATTCTTGAGAATTAGAACCCAATTTCTTCTCATATTGTGCTACATATTCATCCAACCGTTATAAATGTAAGGTATTTATCAAAATAAATAGCCTCATAAACAAGTAGTAATTATGTTATGTAACCTTAAATTTTATTGCTATAGTTAATATAGGTTCTCATATGTGTACAGACCAGGGGTCGGCAACCGTTTGAAACTGAAGAGCCAAAAGATGCAATTTACAAAATTTACCAGTTTTTAAAGAGAAACTAACGTTTTTTTTTCAATATTTAATAATTAGCTTTAAATATGAAATATGAAATATTATTTATTCATATTTTTTAAAAATACACATGCTTCGCACAAAACATATTATAGTATTTTAGCTTGCTCTGCTAGAATAATAAAATTAGTAATCATACAATATAATTATAATCATTGAATATTTACATTAGTTACATCAATGGGAGGATTGACCTTGCATGATGTTTGAAAGTTTGTTTAAATCTGGCTCATAACTTCTTGTTTTAGGAGGTTTCAAGCACGCCTGTTAATTGGCTTCTTACTTAACTTTTTATTATATTCATGTAAGAGAACTATTGCTAGCACAAATATGTTGACCTAAAGATCGTCAGCACTCCAGATGTCAACTTCTCCACGTTACCATCCTGCAAATCTATTCCATGCGTCACGTATGATTGCCTCAACTCGCGATATTTCTTTTACAGCTGTCCAGTTCTGCAGCGTAACGTGCATGTTTTATTGGACCTTCAACTATTTTTACTTGCTCTTGCGTTCTGTGAATTTTCCGCTCCACAAATGAGTCGTTTTCAAATCCAGCAATTGCATTTGAAGCGAACCAGCATCAATTCCAAATAGCTCAAAGTTAAACTTAAACTCATTTGTTTTTGTTTTGAGAGAGTCTACTATGAACGTCAGAGTACTTGCATTTGTTTTGAATTGCTCACATCTCTCAGTGAATCAATCCTTCATTTTGTTTGTAGTAATGCTGAAGCAATTCATGCTATTAGTTGCATTGGTTTCTAGATATTTTTTTCAGATTTTTCGAAATCAAGTAATTTACCGCTCTCCGTGTCTTCAACAACAAAAAAAAGTATTTTTTTTCGAAACATCCACTCCTCAAGCAAGGCAATGGCTGAGTTTTCCTTTCCTTGCAGTTTTACATTTAGCTCGATTATTTTCTTTGTGATATCCACCATGAAGTTGAATGTTTCAATTCGAAATTAACAGTTTAATAGAAAGTACATTGAAAATAGGGAGTAGGGCCTACCTAAATATTCTAATAGAATAGCGAATGTTTAATGTTTATGTTTATAATTATATAATTTATTACCGAGTGTTGCAGAACAATATTTTTATGAGTTTTGAAAATAAAATAAAATAATTATTAATATCTGTGCATGGAGCCGCAAGTTGCCGACCCCTGGTATAGGCAACCATTGCATGTGTAGTAAGCTAGAAGCTAGAGTTAGATTACATGTGTAGTACAAGGCAAACTGTTGTGATCTAGAAGACGTACCAGATAAGGTGTGTAGTATGCTAGAAATTGATATAGAAGGGAAAAAAGATGTTTAGTGAGTTAGGAGCTAGTTTAGGATAAGATGTGTAAAAACCTAAAAGTAGACTTTTTAAAATGTTGTGAGTTAGAAGCTAGTATAAGATTAGATTTGTAGTAAGTTGATACAGAGAAAAGATGTTAAGTAATTTAGGAACTATTATTAGATTAGATATGTAGTGAGTTAGGATGTAGTATAAGATTAGATGTGTAGTAAGTTAAGAGCTATTATAAGATTCGATGTGTAGTAAGTTAAGAGCTATTATAAGATTCGATGTGTAGTAAGTTAGGAGGTAGTAAAAGATTAGATGTGTAGTAAGTTAAAAGCTATTATAAGATTAGATGTGTAGTAAGTTAGGAGGTAGTTTAAGATTAGATGTGTTGTAAGTTAGGAGGTAGTATAAGATTAGATGTGTAGTAAGTTAAGAGCTATTATAAGATTAGATGTGTAGTAAGTTAGGAGGTAATATAAGATTAAATGTGTAGTAAGTTAGGAGGTATTATAAGATTAGATGTGTAGTGAGTTAGGAGGTAATATAAGATTAGATGTGTAGTAAGTTAGGAGGTATTATAAGATTAGATGTGTAGTAAGTTAGGAGGTAATATAAGATTAGATGTGTAGTAAGTTAGGAGGTATTATAAGATTTGATGTGTAGTAAGTTAAGAGCTATTATAAGATTAGGTGTGCAGTATGTCAGTGTATAATTCCCTTCTTCTATTCAGACGTCTGTTGTGACAGAAAATAAATATGAGGTGACCAGGCCGTGGTGGGAAAGGTATCAGCCTGTTAGTTACAAGATAATGACTAGATCTGGTACAGAGGAAGACTTTACACGAATGGTTCACACGTGCAACAATCATGGTATTAGGTAAGTTGCTCACTCTCAACGACGTCGAAAGTTGATCTTGCTTAAAGAAGAGAACAGTTATTGGAGAAAGCAACACGAAAATTGCAAAATAGGCCTTCGTACAGAGACTTAGCTAGGGTAGTGCGAAATACATGGTCCCTATAAGTGTATTGGGGTGACATCATATATATATATATATATATATATATATATATATATATATATATATATATATATATATATATATATATATAAACAGAGGCTGACCGATAGTTTATCCATAAGGCCAATTCCTTTACCCAGGTTTATGGAAAAAAATGAGCCAGATGTAAAGAGCATCTATCTATCTATCTATCTATCTACCTACCTACCTACCTACCTACCTACCTACCTACCTACCTACCTACCTACCTACCTACCTACCTACCTATCTATCTATCTATCTATCTATCTATCTATCTATCTATCTATCTATCTATGTATCTTACAAGAACGCTCTAGAGAAAACACAAGCAATTTAAAAACTTTCACAGTGAAACGAAAACGAAATATGACGTCACATTTAACATAGAGTAAAAAATAATATCAAGCCGCAGAGTGAACACAATAATATGACGTCATTGATTCTCGAGTAAACATTGAATAAAAAGGCAATTTTGTCTAATCTAAGTGGTTTGCGTGAAGAGTTTCTTTCATACAATTCTTCGGGTAGGTGCGAAGCCCCACCCCCGCGTAAGAACGTCTGAGCCCCCCCCCCCTTCCCAACTCAAAAGAAATTTCTTCATCGATACTCTATAATAAAATTACCGCCTAATTAATGTGTCTAATCTAAAAAGTGGTTTTCTTGCAATTTCTTTAATGCACTTCTTCGGGTAGTGGCTAAGCGCGACATCAGTGTTTCTTTCAGACTTTTTCCTCCCCGGAGGGGGGAACTTTTTCTAATCTAAAAAGTGTTTAGCGTGCAGTTTTTTTTTCAAGAATCTCTTCCGGTAGGGGCGAAGCCTCGCCCAGATTCTTCCTTTAGTTTGTATGATCTACAAATGCGACCAGTGTTTCTTTCAGACTTTTTCCTCCCCGGATAGGGGTGGGGGTACTTGAAATTTTCGGGGGCGGGGGTAGAATTTTCTGGGAGGGGACGGACACTGGAAAAAGTATATAATTATATTTCGTTGAATGGTACGGTAGACATGTTTTGGAGTGCGTGTGTGGGGTGGGGGGGGGGGGCGAAGCCCCCTCCTCCCAAGTAGAGTTGCCTGAAAGAAACTCTACGTGCGACTTTTGTCATGAATGAGATTAGGTGCATGGTTTAGGGATATGCCTATGACTATATTTTGTATAAATTAAAGTACCGATTCTGGATAAAAATCCGTGTTCAATGTCATTTTTTCGTTTCCGGTTAAATTAAATTAAGGTGGTGATTTTGGTTTTGGTTTTAGTTTAGAGAAAATAGACAGCACTATCTACCTAGCGCCCGTTGTATCCTTCCTCAACGGGCCATTTTTCTCGTTAACAATGTTTATATAGGGAATTCGGACTGGTAATTTCTAAAAGCCTTCCGAAGTTTTCCCGAAGATAACGCTTAATTTTTAGTGACCTCCGCGGGCAATTCTACGACCTCAGGAGTTATGATTGGGTTTGTACATCCAGATATTTGTATTTTTTTTTTCAAAAACGGTACTATGTTTATATAAGGAAATATGGCCTCTGGTCAGTTAAAACTATGTTCCGAAGCACCATTTTTTTCTGACCCCCTGGGGCTCATGTATTATTACCTCAAGAGTTTTCAAAGGGTTCCTACCTGGGAATATTTTTAGGATATATAGCTTATATAAGGAGAATTTCACTCTCGGTCACTTTTTACCCCTCGATATAAAATATATATACTAGCGTACCTGTCCCCGCGCGTTGCCGCGGGGACAGAAGAAAATCTGACGAAATATATAAGAAGGGTTTCATTAATGCGTTACCAATCCTGTGTTCTTAGACGCGTGACCTTGTTTTCTAAAACTGAGTTATTTAATTGTAAACAATGCATGCGCTTGGATCATAATTATCGAGACACGGGTTTTACCTACACTACCGCATGAAAACCTTGAGTGTACGTTAATCACTTAGCGAAAAAAATGAGGTAAAACACACTTCGATGACCACCCATGTGTCAAGGAAGTAGATGGGCGCTCTCGGGAGCCCCCATTTACACTACCGCAGAGGCGCCGCGTACGGCCCCTGGCTACTTATAACTAACCTAGGCGCCAATGTGCTTAGAGGATAACCCAGAGCGCCACATAGAATCCTGAAACTCTGATTCAGATTGCGTCATTCACTAAAGTGACACAAATCAAGAGGATTTTTTCTTTAACATGTAGAAACAAGTAATTAAAAAAAGTCTAGTGACAATTTTAGCGCAATTTCCTTGTGTTATTTAAAAATAGCTCTGTCGTAGCGTAAATCAAGAGCAGGGTTAGTAAAACCATTGGTTAGTTATTAAAACGTTTTTTATTAAATTTTTTTCAGTATTTTACATGTTTTATTTACAATAGAGAGTAACATGACTAAAAACCATTGCGCGCCCAGCTACCGAACGTGACGTCGCAGCCATTGAACGTGATGGCGCAGCTATTGAACGTGATGACGCGTGTGGTGTGGTTGCATAAAATGCCTACTAATTCGGTCCAAATTTTAATTAATTTAAAAAAATGTTGTGACCAAACAAAAGGATATTTTTGAAAACTTTTGGAACTAGTCCTCGATATTGCTTCGTTGAGGAGGAGATACGACTTAAAGCTGCGGACACACATCCATCCATCCATTCATTCCCAGAAAAGACGAGTTAATAAACGCAATTCTCCAGAATGGAAATTGCGCTAAAAAGTTATTTGATGTTTTATAAACAGCAGTGTGACTGATGCCATTTGTTAGCATTACTAATGGTGTATTATTATAAGCTCAATTTTAATTTCTGATTGGATCGTCTAAAAATAGATGCTAATTGCATCATTCGCAGCGTGACGAAACTGTTTGGATTTTTTAACGCACAAAACGAAACAACCCACTTTATAATTTAACCTTGGTCAATTTTTCTGTTTATTAAAAATAAATTTATTACAGGGCCCTCAGCGGCGTATGTGAGCCTTTGTGGGACGAAACTGAAATTTTTGTTCGCAGCCAAATAACACCCTATCAGGACACGCCTGATTCAATTTAGTGAGCGAATGTAACGCCCCATCTTATCCATTGTCTATCATACTGTTTAAAACGAACGTAGTCTCCATATCGCTCACGGGAAAGACCAGGGCGCCAAATTGCACCCTCCCGTGGCGCCGCCCTTGCGAAAAAATTAAAAAAAGATTTGTTTTGCAAAACACTTCCTCTAGTGTTCTAACAACTCATTAAAATTTCATGGCGATCAGATGAACGGTGTAAAACAGCAATCGACCTTATTTTTATATACCGAAAAATCTCACCTTCCCGGGGCGCCGTCCTTGAAAAATTAAAAAAAGATTTTTTTTTTTTTTACAGAAACCTCACCTGGGATGTTCTAATCAACTCCCCAATGTTTAATGGAGATGGGACGAACTGTGTTAAATCGCAATCGCCTTTTATTTTTATCTACCGTAGATAGAGAAAAAAAAAATCGCGTCCTATCGGGGCGCTACCCTAGGGATATTCTCAACAACTTCTCAAAGTTTCAAGGCGATGTGATGATGATAGGTGTAGTAATGCATATAAGACAAAGAAAAAAACAGACAGGCACATACACACATTGCTTTATATATATATATATATATATATATATATATATATATATATATATATATATATATATATATATAGCCTATATATATATATATATATATATATATATATATATATATATATATATATATATATATAAAGATAGATAGATAGATAGATAGATAGATAGATAGATAGATAGATAGATAGATAGATAGATAGATAGATAGATAGATAGATAGATAGATAGATAGATAGATAGATAGATAGATAGATAGATAGATAGATAGATAGATAGATAGATGGATGGATGGACGGACGGACGGACGGACGGACGGACGGACGGACGGACGGACGGACGGACGGACGGACGGACAGACAGACAGACAGACAGACAGACAGACAGACAGACAGACAGATAGACAGATAGACAGATAGACAGATAGACAGATAGACAGATAGACAGATAGACAGATAGACAGATAGACAGATAGATAGATAGATAGATAGATAGATAGATAGATAGATAGATAGATAGATAGATAGATAGATAGATAGATAGATAGATAGATAGATAGATAGATAGATAGATAGATAGATAGATAGATAGATAGATAGATAGATAGATAGATAGATAGATAGATAGATAGATAGATAGATAGATAGATAGATAGATAGATAGATAGATAGATAGATAGATAGATAGATAGATAGATAGATAGATAGATAGATAGATAGATAGATAGATAGATAGATAGATAGATAGATAGATAGATAGATAGATAGATAGATAGATAGATAGATAGATAGATAGATAGATAGATAGATAGATAGATAGATAGATAGATAGATAGATAGATAGATAGATAGATAGATAGATAGATAGATAGATAGATAGATAGATAGATAGATAGATAGATATAATTTATTTTCTTTTTTTTTAAATGTATTATACACATAAGCTGGTTATTAAAACGTTTTATGCATTTTTTTAAAGTGAAGGATTAAAACAAAGTTCACCATAAATTAGGCTGTGCCGAAAGTTTAAAAACGACGGACCAAGGGAAGGAACTCAAACAATTACTCACTTATATTAAAAAAATCACAGTTCATGAACCGCAAATATTAACATAAATAAGCCGCCATAACCCTCACTGATTCGCGGGAGTTTTAAAAGTTGATTGTGTTTAGAGTCTAAAACTAGATTTTAGATCAGAAGTAGACTCTATATCTGGACTATAAAGCCTTAAGTAGAGGGCAATGATTTCACTAGATCTAGATTCTAG